AGTACATGAATGTCATTTCAAAAGTAAATGTATGAATAATGTTCACACATCAATTCGCAACTTTGTTAATATTTCATCGGAACACATGGAAAATAATGTATTCAATTAATCTACCTTCCACTATCCATTAGAGTGTTTAAAAACCCATGGAAAAAAATCACGTTTACTGTCTTTTCATGGGAGCATCAATTATCATATCAGTTTACACATGCACAGGAAAACCTTGACTTAAGTAAAAAACAATAACAAATATGAATTTCGCTAATTTGACAAATACAATTAGTAACTGAAAAAAATAACAAGAACTAATTGAACAAATGCATAAAGGCCAATTTTCTAAGCTGATGAGTTAAGTTAGCAAAAATGACCAAAATATACAGGCTGAAGAACCAAGGTACAGAAATGGCCAGTTGGAGATCCCAGTATACACCAGTAGTGTCCTCCTTTATATGACTAGAAACGTAACAAAATAGCCCAAAGTTTTATACTTCAATGAAACAGAATGTAATACAAGAGGTAATATCCAATGTGACAAATGGAAAAAATTCCAACTACAATATCAAAGACGTGATAGTCTAGACAGGTAAATAGATTATCAGCTATCGCTTACAAAGTTCAAATGGATTCAGAGAAATGCACAGGGAAGGAATGAAAACACTCGAGACAAAGAATGAAGGTAAGAATTTAGGCTCTTTTCCCTAAATGTGTCGATTAAATGGGATTCGTCTGTCATGAACATGTACATACAACACTAATTCTTGCTTGAACTGATATTAACAGATGTACTTGTACAAATGTAAGTATGGAATTTCACTGGCTGATTAAAGTCACTTTTTGATAAGAGATACTACATGTACATGTACATGTATTACTAATACTGAAATGTAACTGTTGCATTACATGTTCTTACATGTCCAATGCAGAAAGTACATACATGTACATCAATACAGCGTACATTTAGTATTGTGTACCATGAGTAACAGCACCACTTCAATTGGTCAATATGCCTTGCTCCTTTCCAAATAATTTGCTCACTCAAACTTCCCACAGGACAATTCTCTTCAAGCTCATGTTGCCTTCACAAGTGCCAGTCAAATATCACTCAGCAGACTTGATGCCTAGATGCACTGAGATGTTCACCAGTATCAAGATTCCACATGAAAAAAGTTAATGCCTGCACCTGTGCATTTATTTTACGAGATGGTCATGAATCTTGCAACTTTGGCAGCCACTGAGTGAATATGAATGCAGAGTAATAAACTAGCACGTGCATACATGTAAGTTGTTAAAAAAATATGAGAAAGTGATGACATAGAAGAGTTAAGATGTACGCTTGTTCAATTATCCTGGGCCCTGAGGATATGGCTATAATTCAGACACATAAGTAAGATTACACAATTTAACATTAAAATAAAGATGTCAGGATGAGTTTCATAACTTTGGTGTAAAACATAAGCCTTGCTCATAAAGATTCAGAGAGATACTTCCTCATCCGAATCGATCATCTCATTTCACTACATTAAGATTTCAGACACTTGATCATGGAGCAACCTTGCCCGCTACATATATGTGCAAGGCATGTGGTATATGTACATGTACATGCACGCGTGCAAAGTTGCCTGTGTGCAAACTAGTCATACTGTGTCATTTACAGAGCAACAAATCTGATCAATGCCATACAAGCCAGCTCAATTACAGGGCTATAACTGTAGCTCCGAAGTAAAATATGCCTAAAAAGCAACAGATTCTAATGGGCATGTGGAAATTCCAGTTTGTTTCAATGCTTTTAGGAAGGTTCCAGAATTTCTGAGAAATCTTTTTCTGTACTACTATACTAATGATGACTATTTTCGTTACCCATTAGTGAGTAGGGGAAGGGTCTCCCAGCAACACGAGTTGTGTATTAATACACTACATGTACATTGTGCTAATGACTAAAACTTCAATGACTGCACGTACCTACAGTATATATGTATTAAGTTATGGTGTAATTTGACAGCCAGAATAAGAAGCCATTACTGCAATGGCGCAATGCTAATCTACAGGTGGTACACGTGTGTTACATGCCTCTTCGAAGGGTGTCGCGATTTGCCAATGCACGCACGCGTCAAGCTGAACAATAGTGTGCATGAGTGCGGTGCCACTGCAGTTATGGCATCAAATCATATTAGTCTACCGGTATATAAAGAAAAAAAAGAAGGAAGGACTTTTCATAAACCAACCATACAAATTTATTTCTTGACAGAAACCTTTTGCTAAACAGGTATGAACCCGTCTCTTTGTTGAATATAGCACATGTACACAGCCATCATTTAAGAAAGAATATTGCTTTCAGTGCAAATATACACTGGTACATTCAAATCAGATGGTTTCATGAGTATGTTATAAAAACAATCAAAGCTCATGAATATCCTGCATGTATTCTTAGAACTCTTTCATTCATTAGGCACTAAATGTACATGTGTAAGAGTAAACATGGTACATGTATGAGTAGACCAGTACGAGCAGCCCAGCTTGTACGCAATAATGGAGTAACACCTAGGTAAACTACAATTTTGATTCTCTAAGAAATATACCAAATAATAATGTACAGGTATAATAAAGAATAAATGTTGCAAATCTGATACAGTAGGTTTCATATGAACAGAAGTTGTTTCCCTCATCAGTACGGTACACAGTATGACTGAACAAAAGGTTTCTTTCGAATTTAGATCAGTCAAATTTTTATTGACGATCAGTACACGATAATATGAATGTTTTCCACCAACATAAAATAATAATTTATTACCAGTATTGCATTCGACCAACTGACCAGAAATGAACCACAGAGGGCTCACTTCTCTCAAAAGCTGACATTTATCAAAGAGTAGTCATACCAGGTCAGCAGAGGGCACTGTTCAAGTGCTGTATTAGGCAGTCTCTAAGGATGATCACATACTTCAAGTATGCAAAACACTGCAACATAATTCTAATGAGATAATGCATATAAATGATCCTTTTTATTTCCATTCAAAAGCCTTAGGCTTTGAAACAGGCAGACTGTTAGGCATTTGTGAGACAGGTTGCCTGACATTGTTGGTAACGTGCATGACGATATAGTCACCAGGTCCCTCATTTCTCAAAGTCTGATTGGTTTTCACAGTAAGTGGCGAAATAAGGGACCTGGCGACTATACGATCACACACACATAAAGCCTCTTTTTAGGCAAATTAGAACCAAGTTGTGGGAACATTTCTCTGTCTGTAAAACATTTTAGGTCCCCACAAAATAGGTAAAATATTGTGGGTATGTCCCCAAAACTAAAGAACAAGACTGGTGGGACTTCAAAAATGACGTTTTCAAACTGTGGCTATTTACTGGAGTTTGAGTGGATTTTCATTTGTGATCCCCATTCCAAAACGAAGCTGAAAGAGTAGGACTATGGCATGACTTATTATCTGAAAATGATACTAACAGACATTGAAGAACAGTGCAAATTCCATAACTTTAAAGGTTTCTGCAGACAAAAAAAATTACTTAGGATTATGTTGAATCTTATATGAGTGATTTTGAAGAATAGTTATATGGAAATTGCCTGATTCAGGATCATTTTGGAATGGTTAGTCATACAAGTAAAAGGCCATGCCACAGGTAAGTGGAATGTTCTACAGTTATCAGTTTGTATAAAAATGCACAGACTGTAAGTACTGTGACATTTCTAATTTTCAGGTACAGAACATTTCTTCATGGGACTTTTTAAGGAGGCACGGTTGCTCAAGCCCAACAGTTTCAAATCTGTGCCTTCAAGGTGCACAATCCATTCCTACAAACTTCAATAAGTAGCATTCCTCGATGCTTCGATACTAGCCATTTGTAAGTTAACAGAACAGTAACACAAGGAACTCTTTTCCCTTCCACAAAATCATGGTTACTTCAAAGGCTCTGAAATCTACCAACGCACATCTTGCCGTTGCCTTTCTGATACACAAACCCAATTTTTGCACATGCTGTTTATAAGCATTTACTCCCTTATTAAGTGTTCTCAAAGGAACTTAATCAGAAGTCCCTAAACCTGTTAATCTCATGAAAGCTAAACCCTTCTCTCCTTTGTCGATATATTTGCATATCCTGCTGCTTATAGTAAGATCAATTCAGTATCAAGCTCTTTCACTCCTCATTTACTCAGAGCATTCAATCAAAATCCTCCATTGTTATCCTTTTCTGAAATAATCACCTAGGAATAAATTTTGCCTTTTACAGTACCTCTATGGTCTCATCAAAAACCTCTTTCGCTCTCCCATAGAATTCACCCCTCATTTTTTCTCAACATGCATGCAATTAACATACATCTGTACACGAATCACCTCTCCAGGTACAACATCAGAATGGCACTACTGCCTCCACAGAATAATTCACTTATGAACTAGCACAAAGTTGCAAAATTTCTGCAATTAACTGAAGGGTCATTCTATACATTTGGGGTCAAACGTGTGACATTTTTCTGTCCCTGTTACCTCTGACATGTGTACCATCTGACAAGTTTGACAAGGGATGTATCACTGAAATTGATTTCAAACTATTTTTATTTGTTTGGCAGGTAATTTGCAGTACTTATTCAGTCTTGGTAATTAAACAATGAGTTCTAAACATACAAAATCAAAGGCCTAACATAACAGGAATGGGAATAAATGGACCGCAAATTTATAGAATGACCCTAAAGCCAATGTTGTATTTCAGTCAATCACAAATCAGTCAAATAGGGGATGAACAGTGACAGAGAGCAAAAGAACATGTCTCTGACAGGTCGTTCATTTGAATGGTCTGTGACTTGACAGTGGATGACTTGTGACAGACTGCTGATTGTCTGGTCATAACTTGGCATGACTCCACTGCAACTCTGGCATCTACTGATGATTCTTCTCTTGTACAACTCCAAATTTAAATAGTCACTCCTATAGGGTATCAATCACTGCGTATCACCACAAATGGTCCCAAGCAATGAGAACTAAGAGTAGACTTACCTGCACTTGAGATGCCCAACAAAGGTGCTGAAACCCGGGGTCCTAGTGGAGGTTTTGGTCTTGGAAGAGGTTTGCTGGCCTCATCTTCCACAGGGGGAACGGACATAGACGGCGCTGTCAGTGATCGGCAGACAGGCTTATGGGTATTCTCACTACACAGTATAGAAAACAAGAGAGAGGACATTTGGGTTTACATGCCACGGACATCACAAGTCCTCGTACACAGATACATGTTGTCCAAAAAAATGAAGTGCTAAAAAAACGCAATTTCTTGAAAACAAAACTAAAAGCACATCATCTGCTTTCCAAATTTCTACAGTCAGAAAAGAGGGGAAAAAAGCACGATTCTGAAAATGAAATCTTCTTGACAGGTTTCAGCAGATGATCAAAATAATAAACTGATCAAAGTAAGAGAATGGCTAATTTTACTACGTAAATGCTCTGTATAAGGTTTCTGCTCTGTATTTGAAGAGTTGTATATTTGGTGCCTTTAATTTACTGAGCTTTGTCCAATCTTTCCTGTTTTGGCAAAAGAAAATTAAGAAAAGCTCTTTGCATGACAAATAATCATTTGTTGGGTGATAATCACTTTTTCCTGCCTTGAATCAATTGCTCAGCAGATAGTAATTATGGATTTTTTTCATCGTTGGGTGCTACAGGTGTTCTGACTTCTGCCAAACCACAGACAGCCTGTATGTACATGTACGTGTATGTATTTATCAATCATTACCAATACATGAACTTGGGATTCCAAGGACAGATTAAATACCGGTGGTATCCATTTCCATCTTACAGTGTGGGTCAACAGGTTTGATGTGTATATTGTCACTGACAAAGATGTACACATACATGTACATGTAGGTAATCAGGTACCTACACCATGTATGGTACATTATGGATAAACAATACATGTAAGTATAAGCCTACACGTATTACTTCCTGTGACTAAAATATGAGCATGCATTTCTGTTACCTTTGTTACATTACAATCAATCACTTGAAAATCCGATGAGCGATTCATTGTAAATCATTTGTGTGACTGGAATGTGTTCATGTACATGACATATGTACATTGTGTCTTGATCACCACCATGTATTTAGTACATGTACCTTTACAATTGTCTTTTTTTATTTTCAGTTTTGTTTTATTCAATCACATGGACCCAAACTTCACGTATGTATATCTTCATAACAGAATAAAAGCTTTCTGCCAATCTTTAGGGTAACTGTAGCAAAACCTGTAGCTAAGGTTTGTGCAAACATAAAGCTCTTTTCGTGAATGAATACGATGTACATGTACGGTTCTTGTGACGACTAATGAGGAAAGTAAATAGGCCACAATGTCCCGTGTGTTGCCTTTGAAAATTACAATCCCTACATGCAAGCCTACAAATCTACATTACTAAATACACAGTCTTTGTGTGTAAATTATAAATATGGCTTATTATGTGAATCAAGTGATATGTAAAACCCAGCAAAAATCAAGGAGTCCAAATACATTGTAAATGTGGTACATTCTGTAGTATGTACTTGTACATATACCGGTACACGTCTCTGTACACTGTCAAATTTAGGATTTTTGTGTCAACTGCAAGACTACACTACCGGTACATGTATATGTAATTCCAAATTACATGTATGCCAGCTTTGATACCAAACATCTAATATTTCATTCAAATGTGCAATTTCGAGTTGGCGACAAACAAGAAACACTCATGCATTGCACATGTATATGTATCAAATGTGTAGGTAAGCTGATCCAGATGAAAGCCAAGTACGTATGTGACTTGCTCTTCCCTGATGCCATTGAAGATGGGACATTAATGATTGTGAAAGTTCAACAATGGCTTTAAGGGCAGACAGACTGTTGGTTATAAGCGGATAGTATACACCACAAATCATGTCCATGTATGGCATCTGTCAGCCCAAATCACCTCTGCAAAGATGACAAGTTAATGTTTGGCATTGCCTTTGTAAATGATTGACATAAGTGATGTGCTGAAGCTCAGGGTTGACTTCCATATCCTCATCCCCAATGATATAATGGGATGAAGAGAGGTTGATCCAGCTAGGGGTTGTAACAATAATAATGAAATATGCCATATTTCATGCCCTTGAATTTATGAAGGAATAGTATACACGATTAGTCTTAAACATTCACTGAAGACCAGCTCAGGAGAATGGACACTGATGATGCCCATTCTCTCGAGTAGGTCTTAATGAAACCAGTCAAGCATATATTTATATGTACATGTACTCCCATTACTAAATACCAGTACCTTTGGAGCAACCAAGTCAAAATATAAAATTTAAAATCTTCAACAATTTTGTTTAACAACATTAGTTCTTTCACAAGCCCCTTAGCCATATTACGGTATGTTCCTCTTGTGATTAGTGAGAAATAATCTCCTTGGATGGAATTGGTAGCAAGTACTACACACAATCAACCAGTGCTTCATCAACCGGTTAAGACTGGCCACATGACAATCTCTCGACCAATAGCAATGGCTAAAGGGTCATTCTATAAATGAGGAGTCAAATGTTTTTCATGTCCCTGTCACATCTGACATCATTTTGTACATGTCAGTTCAGAACACATTGTCTAATTTCCAGGAGTGATAAATTCATGCAAATTACCTCCCAAACAAATACAAATAGTTTGAAATCAATTTCAGTATATTTTCATGTAAAATTATACAGGTCTGGTGTACCAGGGACACAAAAATGTCACATTTTAGAACAGAATTTATAGAATGACCATGACCTGTCTTAGTTGTTTATGAATAACAAGGCTCAGTTCTCTCCCAAGTGTCTATGACCTCAAATCTTGAACTTGGTTTTGTTTTCTATAAAGTGCAAAGAATTTAGAAACTTGATGATTAAACATCTAAAAATGCAGAAGATTTTTTTAATCACGAAAATAACAAACAATCCCCAAAATGAAAAGATCCTGATAAATCAAAGCAATTTAAAGATCAATCTGTTATGATCTTGACAAAAATGCAGACAAGTAAAATGTAGGGTACATGTACATGTATATAACACTCTGCATGCATAAATGCACACGTTACGTGCCATATTTGTCCATGTACAAATAGATCTGGAAATTTATCACCTTGTCCATTCAGTTTTAACAATATCATGGATGACTTGAGATGTTATGAGGTACATAAATGTACTGGTACCTTGAACTGCTTCTGGAATCACGATCAGTAAAAAGGCATTATTGATTCAACAGACAGCAAATTAAGTAGATTCAAGTTTCCTTTTCTTTTGTTCTACCTCTAATATCAGAATTTCACTCCATTGTCATTACTGTGATTCCTTTTGAAAGTTATACCATCAGTATGAAGAATGACAGGTGAAGTAAAAGCTTGTTCCGGGCTGGTAGAGTAGATGGTATTTGGCAAAGGGGGGATATCGCAGTTAGGAAATCAATTCAGATTTTGATCTGGTCAATGCAGATAATAGGGAATTGAGGAAAGCACCTGATTTGCACAGAAAGGGAAGATGAATACAAAAACGTGGACAGTTCTAACTGCAGTAAACATAATACAAGGCCTGTTGAGTCTCTTCCCACTGTCTGGAACAACAGCAATTAAATGTAAGATTCGATACATTTATGTTAATGATTTTAGGAAACAAAAGAAACCTAAAGCCGCATATTGAAAAGTCAAGTTTCATTTTAGCACTCCCCTGCAAGTATCACTAATTAGAGAAAGCATGTTTCATATCATTTACTGACATACACATAAAGGCATCTTTTGAGATTGTTTCCAGTAATTGGTTTTTTAATTAAACATAAAACAGAATTTCAGTATTCAGTCCAAATGGGCATCAATTATTTGGTACTCATCATTAGATTTCTGGCTCGCTCCAGATCCTACAGGCTTTTAATGAATACATGTACATGTACATGTACTTGCATGAAAAGCAACATGTACCAGTAAGTGTGCATGTGACTAGCAGGGTGAAATTAAACACACTCACAAAGCCATTACTGCAAAATCTTCTCCAGGAAAGCTACTGTAACTCTTACCTCCAGCAGACATCACAAGAGCAGTTTTTAGGGGGTTTTGTTTGTTTTTTTGTAGCAACTCAAGCCCCACTTACATTTACGTACATTTCTTCTCTCCTCAGGAAAAATATTTAAATGGCTTATCGCATTAGTCATTACTGTCTGGGTATAATGTACTGTAGCTTATTTACATTACTCTAAATGGTTTCTCAATCAGCACTTGTAATTTTAACATCAGTTCAAATTCAAATGTTAACAAACATATACAAAGGACGCCTTTGAACATTTAATTTTGACAATTCAGGCATGGGATGGGGGAACAAAACCCACAAAATATGCAGCAAAGGAGTGTAATGAAGCATTGCAACAATAAAATACTGTGATTTTTCAGGGCATTTTTAAAATAAACCACAGACATGTAAAAATACATGAATTACCTAACAATGTTGTTTTAAGTGAATCCTTTACATGGCGTCTTATACAGGGTGTCCATATAAAAAGTATACCGAGATGGTCTAGCCTTAAACTTGTCACCGTGCCGATTTCAGTACCCTTAACACCAGTCTAGTTTGTTCACTCATCTGTGTCAATAACATCACAAGCTGTATACCATTAAAAAGACGGCATTCTGCCCTTTCTAGAGATATATTTCTCTTTCCCATATATAAAGTAGTTTTGCTATTGCAGCAATTTTTATCTCGGTATTCTTTTTATGTGGACACCCTGTACAGAGTGCAAAAAAGGGCAAAACCTGAATGAGTAAACTCTACATATATCCAGAATTTCAGCTAAAAATACTGAGATGCAGAAAAAATGCAAATCCTGCCATATTTGCATATATTATACTCACAAGGCTTAATACTTGATCATGTTGATGCGTAAGAATTCATATCTTTCCAACACTGGTGAACATCTGCAGATCATTTTAATTGGCTTTGGGACCTTCATCACATCGGCTTTTCCCCTTAAGCAACACTTCTAGTGATCAATGTACTTTAAAAAACAAAAACAAACATTAAACACGTACAAAACACATGTTTTTTACCTGTGTGTTGCCATCTTGACATTTTGTTGTGCTGCATCAAGCTCCCTCTTCTGTGTTTTAAACACGTCATATGATCCACGATCAAGGCG